AGAAAATGTTCTCAGGGGACTTTTTTTCTCTCAAAAGGAAGGTGTGTTGTTTGGCACATACTACAATTCCCTACATTTTTTTTTTTTTTTTTTGAAAAAAGATGAATGTTTTTGCATCCTTACCTTTTCACTGAAACACTCAAGCAAGTCTTGGACATACCCTCGCATTTCTTGCAAAAACTTATACTGTTCACCAATACCCCCAGAAGACCCTTCTAATCTCTCAATTGCCTTGGTAGAGTCCTCCCGGCTTTGCTGGTGTTTCGCATATTGCTGCCGATTGGCCTTGTGCAATTCTTTCATAGAGTCCAACCTGAGGGGCAATGAATAAATATCAAGTTTACATCCAAAAGTCTATGTTTTGCAGACTGTTGAGACATTTAACACACATTGCAAGATCCAGGGAAGTATTTTACAGACATTCTCTAACTTAAGCTTGGACGCTTTCTCTGCTCTCCACCTAAACAGGAAGGCTAATGCAGTGCAATATACTCAGCTTAGTCAAGTTCTACAAACCTCCGCATGAACTGAAAGCACTTAAAACACTGCAGAACTGCCCCTAAAGGGAAAAACAGGGAGTTTTATGGTATACCTACCAAAAATAAGTATACAAACTATAACTCACATAGAGTTACTTTTCTCCTCTAGCAACTTGATGACTAATAAAGTCTGTAAGGCTACAAGGGGCATACAAACCAATTCTGAGGACAAGTAAAGGGCAAGCTGTTCATTAGAAACGCTTTCTCCCTGCTGTTGGGTTGTTCATTCCATAGGACCTTTTTTGTACCTGACGAGAAGATTATAATGTTTAAACCAAAAAAGTTGCTTAAACTAAAATCTAAATCCTTTATCTCTTCAGGGGAAATACCTGATTCACAGTTTAAAAAAAATGTTACTTGACAAGCTAAGACCTCACTGGCCTTTCAATTCTTGACTATAAGATTGTGCAGTATCCAGAAGATGCAATTCAGACCTGTCTTCGACAAGATCAATGGCCATATATTTAAAGCTTCACTTCCAGAGAAACAATCCGAGGAGATTTTCAAACAAAGTGTCAATGTCATCTTCATTTTTTTTGGTTTGGTTTTGGTTTTTTTTGTTTTGTTTTGTTAATGGATGCGCCAGTCAGTACTTTTCCAGCGATGAAACTCTGCATTTGCTCACCGACACTAAAAGGTGCCTGAGGAACAGAAAGCTAGGGGACAGGTCTTTAAGTCTAGAAAGATGGTCTGTCCTACCTGTCTTTAAGCTGTTTCTTTACCAAATCAATAGTAACAGGAGTCATCTCATTACTGGGAGTTTTGAAAGGAACCGTATTATCTGTTTTTTGAGACTTGGCTTCCGATGATCCATACGCAGCATAAGTGTATGGAATGCCATACGATGAACCATAGGACAGTGTCTGGTAAGTGTTCTGGTAGTACAGATTATTCACTTCAGCAGGCTGACTTGGTTGAACCTATAGAAAGATGGCATGCAATGACACTACATTTAACTTTAAAGGGGAAAAAGGAAAGTTATTTCACATCAATCTTGCAAAATGAAAAATGTAAGCAGATATATATTAATGTAATTATCACCATAAGTAAAATGAAGTGCACAGACATATGGCAGAAGCTGGTACAAATTTCAGCTCTATGTTTATGCTGCAATACCAGCAACAGCCAAGAAGCATATGCTGTTACAGCACAGATTCTATAAACACACTGGTAAACAAGAACAAAAGCCTTTTCAAAGCGGCATTATTCTAGCTCTATTCTAAGCTGCAAACAAGCGCTGGTTAACAGCACAAAAGTGATCAATACCCCATTTGGAACAGAGAGAAACTAAAAGAAACACTGCCGACACTTAAAATGTGAATTCTCACTTCCTTTTGAAGTCTATCAGAAATTCCACACCAATCATCCCTGGTGAAACTGCCTCCGTCAACTAGACAAGTTCACAATGGATTTAGCCAACATATGTAAAAATGGAAAAAAGGTTCACAACTAAATACATGCCTGAGGTATGTTGATTCCTTTCCGTATCTGTTCTTGCTCCCATCTACTGAGTTCTTCATCCTGCTCCCCTGTCCCCAAGGCTTCATCATCACTTCCCTCAATACCTGAGCCCAAGTAAAAGAAAGAGGTAACAAAAAGGAGAAGATAATACATTCACAGGAAGGGCCATGCTGAAAGATGTGCTCCATTGGGAACATGGAGTTCAGTGCATTTTCCCTCGCTCTTCACAAGGGACTAAAGATGCGACTCAAGTGTTTTCATGGATGTTTTTTTCCAAGAATCTAATGGATATAGTTGCAATCAACTGTTAGTAAAGCTCTCTAATACTATAAACCTACATCTTCAAAATCTTTTTGTTGAAGACCGACTGCTTGCCAGCAGGCAGAATGCTAACCTGAAGAGTAAATACTCTTCTGACAACTATATACACTTCTTAAAAATATATAAATACTTATTACATAATAGTTGCTCCTAAGTGCAAATTCACCTAAGATTTGGTACAGCTGTGTGTTTGTTAGCATGAGATTTTAGTTTGTGCACACTTTTTTTTAAAACCAAATTTCTTGATGTAGTATTTATAGAAAAAAAAATCCACATTTACATCTAAGTAGTATTGTATACTACACAGGTTATGATCCTGACAGATATTTTGTTATTTGAAAAATGCATTGTGTAAGAACACTGATGGGGAGCACTGAAACAATGTGAATATTTATCAGCTGTGCAATGGTCCTTCTGAAAGGATTTTACCTATTTCCTCAGCAATCTTTTGCCTTTGGGATTTTTCCTTCACCGTAAAAACTATCCTCCTCTTCTCATCATCATCTTCATCATCACTGGCATCATTTTCGTCTTCTCGAACAAGGCGGCTTTTACCTGGTTCACTGTCAACAGGTGTAAAGTCCCCAAGTTCACGAGCCATTTGACGCTTTTTCCTAGCGGCGTGAATAAAAGCAGCATCTGGAATTTCTCCTGGAGACAGATGTTTGCACAGTTAAACAATCACTGCAACCAAACTGGTATTACGGCTCCTCATTACTTATAGCTACCACCTCTTCTTCTCAAACAGCAAAGAATGTGGCAGAGCAATACATCTTCAAGCAAGTTAGAAGCTATACATGCAACATTTCAGACCTGTAACTCTCAAAGTGGCATTTTTCCCCAAACAGCTTTCTCTGCTTCCATCAGCTCACATATCACATAAGCCTAATGTCCCTATAGAAAATAGGCCCAAGAAGAGGAAGCCCTTTCCAGGTACTGACTACTGCAAGGGCAGGAAGATATTAAGGCTCTTGGCTATGCCACTCCTTGATCTGATACTGCTCCTGACTCTCATTTATACATGGGGAAGAGGAGGAGCTGTTTAAAAAAATCCAAGACAGCCACTTCAATAGGTGACAATAACTCAGAACAAAGGACACCAAATAGGACGAAGACAAGAGAAGATGATTGTACAGTTGAGGAAAAATAAGAAAAGCTCACTGAAAAAGCTACCAAAATTGCTAGTAAAAAAATTAATGCAGCATGCATTTATCACACATAGAATGCTCCCTCCCTCACAGCACAAAATTTTTTGAAATATCAAAAATATTTACCACTACTTTGATTAGGTACACACAAAAGATTAAAGTTTATATTCTCTTTACACTTCAAATGACATACTTAACTCAAACCAGCAGTGTCTTTAGAGATGAAATAATGAATATATTGCACTACTCTGGGAGTCAACTAGAGAAACTAGTTTTCCACCTACTACTAAATTTTGTGAAATACAGTCAAGTCTGTGGGCCAAGGACATGCAGAGGAAATTTGTATTTGGGGCACAGAGTACCACATGGTCAGATATAAAGTAGCTAAACTACCTAAAAAAAAAAAAAAAGAAAACTATATATATATGTATATATATTTATATTCTCAAAATGATTGCTTTGGCATGAGGGCCTGAAAAGAACTTCATTAGCCAGAAGCGAAGGAAGAGACATTTGAGGTCCCTTTCAGACCTGTGACTAAGGCATTCAAACAGAGACAAAGTTTTAATTGAAAGTAGTTAAAAATCCCATTGAGTAACCTAATCTGATTCTAAATTCTGTTAGTTTATTATCATGTTGAGAAATGAATTCCTGGCTTTGACATGAAGATTAGAGCATTCTGCACCGCAGCATTTTCTCCCATAGACTGTAAAATTGAGCAGCCTTGGGAAACAGCAGTTTCCTGAATTCTCAGATGCTGGCCATATCACTAGCAAATATTTCTTAATTCCTCAAATATACCAACCTGCTGTAACTGCTGGCTAAAGCATTTCTCAATATATCAGACATATTACAATAACCCACCTGGTCGGAGAACATTTAGTGACGACAGAGCACTTGAAAATGCCCCACCAGCTTTTGGTTTTTCTTCTTCCTTCTCACTTTCAACTTCCATTTCTTCTTCACCTTGGTCACTGTTTGCAGTCCCATCTTCTTGACTTGTATCCTTGATCAGTCCTGCTTTTTCTAGAGGTGGTTCGACTGTTAAGACAAAGCCCACCTTTCACTCTCGTTGGAAAAGGGCATTCAAAAACATCTTTTTAAGATCTAACGACTCAAAGTAAAAAAAAAATAATAAAAAATGAAAACATTAAATGCTAATTTCACTAGTCAGGGACACAACCATAACACCAAAAAATCCTTTTCTTTTGTCCACTAAAACCTCTCTAAAATGAAAGTTGAGACATTTCAGCCATACAATCAAAACTCAAGACTTCCACTATGTGATTTAATGGAATGGTCAATAAAGCAGTAATTTGCCATCATGTATGTGGCCCAGTAAAAACTGCTGTTTAGTACTTATTTTTTTCCATAACTCCAGTGCTCAGTGTGCACCTTGCCTGTCTTGCACCAAGTCTTTGTACATAACCAAATACACTTCTAAAGTACCTTTTTTTTCTGTCTCTCCTCCTGTGCAGGGAATGTAACATATCCAAATACAGGCAGCAGGTACAAACCTTATATAAAGAATGCATACACCCAACCCAAGTTGTATTAGCCAAGTTTGAGCTTAGCATTTTAAAACATTTCCTTAGAGAATTCAAACCATTGATTAAGTAGAAGCCATAGGGTCTCTGCACTGGATCCAAGCCAAGTGCAGACACCATAAAACAGATAAAGAGAAAATGAGCACATCTTTCTCGACTCGACAAAAGCAAGAAGATCCAGCTTTCCACAGAGCATCTGAATGTTAGCTAGAGAAATCATCCTTTCTGATTCTACCAACACACAGCCTCATTGTACAGGCAATTTGAGCATTCTAGTACAAGTTACTTCTAGAACAGAATTAAGAGTTCTGTTTGAAAAAAAAAAAAAAGGAAAATTTCTACTTGGGTCCGCACTTCCGGCATCACTACGATTTTTCAGATCATAAGCCTTGCATTTGCGCTCATGGTGCAGTGGGTTATCGCTCTGTACAGAATCTAACTGGAAAAGTAACATTTACACTTTGCCAACGAGCTTTCAAAAAAAAAAAAAAAAAAATAGAAGAAAAACGAAACTGAAAGTCCAGGCTTTATTCTAAGGTATGAAGGACTGTATGTTGTTAGAAGATCCTTCTATTCCAACACTTCCATCCTGCCATCAAAATCATCAGCCATTCCCTGCTTTAAGGCCAATTCCTGGAACATGCAGCTGTTGAGTAACACCTAATAGAGAACATCTCACTGTTCACCCCATAATTTTCCCTTTCAAGAAGCTGCACGTTCAGTCAGATAAGCACTGACTGCAGTTCTAAACTACTTATTAAGAGGAACTTGTCTGACAAATGTAAACAGAACTGAAATACAAAAACTACTGAGGTCTGCCAACAACAGCATTCATAAGCTTTCAGAAAAGTTCCATCCATCTACCTTCATTTCCACATCAAAAAGATTCAAAGAATGCTAGCAGCTTCAGAACAGCATTTGTGAGGTTCCAACAACTATTTTTCAAACATTCTCTATTGCAGTTCTAAAAGCTTAAATTTCTAAGAAAAGACTGGCAGTTCATCTTGAAAACAAGTCATTTGTATTTACATTTCTTAATCCTTGGCATTAATAAAAGTTACTGTTAGTATTGCAGTTACCATCTGTTGGAGAATTGGCCTCTGTTCTAACTTTTGATTTTTCAAGATCTTCTTTGTATTCTTTCTTCAGCTGTTTTACAATCTTTTTGCTGTAACTCGATTTCTTCACCTTAAAAACTTCTTCAGTTTCTTTAAAAGAGAAGTTGAAAAAAATATTACATAAGCCTTGCCAAGCAGCATACCTACCTCCTAAATCTCTTCGTACATAGAACACTTTTTTTTTTTGACTGTACTATCAATTTAAAGGCCTGCAGAACTAGAACCTACCAAAGGGTATCCAATAAGCCAAAAAAACTAAACAGCATCAGGAAGTCAACATTTGATGTCGGAAACCCAAGTTTCTTTTTCCAAGTAATGACGGTAATGATAACAGCAATCTCTTCAGATTCTTACATTACAGGCCTTGGAATCCAATTTCCTGTGATTACAAGAGTAGCCCTTTTTATTTAAGAAAGGGCTTTTTATTTAGGAAATTTTTTATTTAAGAAAAAAAAAAAAAGGAGGGCAGGGGGGAAGTAAAAGGGAAATGAACATGCTTTCTAACTCCCCTATGGACAAAGGGGCATCTCAGTAATAACCTCCATGTTTTATTCACCCTGAACATCTGGGATGCAATGAGCTCAAGGGCACTTAAGGACTCAATTTATTGTTGTTTTACCTGTAAGCTAGGTAATATTTTAACTGTGTGCCTGCTAGATAGATGCTAGGTGTTTTTTTTTTTCTTTTTTGGTTAAATGCCAGGTCTCCACAACAGGTTATCAGCAGGCAATAAACCCACAGGTGAAGCACCCGCCAGAGCCCAGCAGGATGTGGCTGGCATCTCTCCCTGATCCTGGAAAAGCTGTTGGGGCCCTTGGCTGCTCCAGGAGCTGCTCAGCCTCACACTCAGCACCCGTGGGACCTGCCGGGCACCCAAACACCCATTTGGGCGCAGAAGGCTGGGCCATGGTGAGAATTATAAAACATTACTAAAAATAACAAAAATAATTTAAATAATAATCATCATTATTTTAAAGCAACAAAAATAAAATCAAAAGCATCCCGTTGGGGCCCTTGGCTGCTCCAGGAGCTGCTCAGCCTCACACTCAGCACCCGTGGGACCTGCCGGGCACCCAAACACCCATTTGGGCGCAGAAGGCTGGGCCATGGTGAGAATTATAAAACATTACTAAAAATAACAAAAATAATTTAAATAATAATCATCATTATTTTAAAGCAACAAAAATAAAATCAAAAGCATCCCTATGATGGCTGAGGGCTACAGGAGACAGGCTGGGGGCGGGGGGGAGTGTTAAGATGGGGCCCGTGGTGGCTGAGCCGCGCCAGCCGCTGGCCCAGAACCCCGCGGGGGGACCAGTGGCCGCTGGGGGAATTAATTAAATATTATTAGTAGGTGTCGATAACGCGGCCGTGCGGCCGGGGGGTGCGGGCCGCGCTCACCCTCCTCCTCGTCCTGGAAGCTGAGCAGACTGGCCCGCGGGGCCTCCTTGCTCTCCCGCGGCCGCTTCCTCTCCTTTGGGC